AGCAGTGGAAGGGGCAGATAGGCCAGCTGAGCACTGGGCCCTCCAGAGCCTAGAATCCAGTGGTCCAGGACAGGGCCCTGCCCCCATCCCCTGGGAGTGCTGACTCTCACCTGACTCCGAGTAGCCGGTGGCAGTGATTATGGGGACTGCCACCATGAGCAGGCCTGAGGCGCTCCACACGTACTTCATGAGGAACTGCTCCAGCATGACATACCACAGGCGCTCTAGCAGGATGAGGTTGATCTGCGAAGCCAGGGCCTTGTAGGAATGCTGCAGCAGGGCCAGCTCCACCTGCCAGGGAGGGGGCAACAGAGAGCCTGAGAGACCTTGTGGTAACATGGGGGTGACAGCAAGAGGTCCCAATCACCAAGTGCACACACGCCATGCCATCTGATGGCCAGGACAAGGTTGAGAGCTGGGGATTACAGTAGAAAGGTCTCAAACTCGGGGTGGGGGGCAGTATGGAGTGCAGCAGTGGTGAAGAAAGGACTCATGACCCCACCTGCCAAGGCCCATTCCGGTGCCCCCTTTCCACTACCTCTCTGGTTGGGAAGCTCACCATGCCCCTCTTTGCCCTGGGCAGCTTTTGCACATGGGCCAAGGGTAGCCACCTTGCCTGTTTCTTTGTGTAACTGCTGGAGGACTAACCTGAACTCAGCACAAGGCAGTATTTCATTTGGAAGAACTTGGTACAACAGTCTACTTAGGCCCTGCCTTCTGCTACCTTCCTCAGGGATCCTCTGGGTGAGAAACTTCCACTGCACTCTCCCACTGAAACCTGGAGGGCATGCTCCTGAGCCAACCTCACAGGCCTCCACCCCTAATAGCCAGCTGAGGACTTTAGTGGGGTGGGCCTCCCTTGCCCTCCCCTCCCCTCTCCCTTCCTGCATTGGCCACCACCTGCCATCTCAGAATGGGTACAGGCCTGAAGAAGAGAGAGCAGAAAAAGGAGTGGGAGAAAAAGAGGCTCTCCCATAGCAGCAGCGTCCAGATAGGCAGGGGGCTGGAGGTGTCAGGAAGTGGTCACAGCAAAGTGGCCACTGGGTCATGGATTTCTTGGCTCAGTGCAGGAGCATGCATCTCAGCTCTCTCTGCCTTCCCACCCCTGGCTGACAACAGCTGCGCAGCCTGGCACCATTTCCTTTGCCAAGTGCTTTCACACTTGATTCCATTTGATTCTCACCCCATGCTACTCTACCTGTATTCTTGTTTCCATTGCACAGGAGGATACTACAGAAGCCCAGAGAGGCAGTGACCTGCCCAAGCTCATACAGCCTGAAGGTAGCAAGAAGTATGGAATTTGGACCACACTGGCAGAGCCATCAGGAGAACCAGATTTTTGTAAATGATGCTTTGACTTATTAAGAAAGGTTTAGCCCTGGCTGGGTTGGCTCAGCAGTTAGAGCATTGGCCTGTGGTTCAGAAAGACCTGGGTTCAGTTCCCGCTATGGGCACGTACCTCAGTTGCAGTTTGTCCCCAGCCCTGGTTGGGTCATGCCGGAGGCAGCCACTCAATGTGTCCCTTTCTCGTTGATGTTTCTCTCCCTCCCTCCCTCCCTCCCTCCCTCCCTCTCTCCCACTCTATCTGAACAAAAAATGGAAAAATGTCCTCAGGTGAGGATAAAAAACAAAACAAAACAAAGAAAGGTTTACCTTGCTCTCAAGCCAACAAGATGTGTGTGTATCTAAATAACCCTCCTCATTGAAATCTCAGTAAGAACAGAATACTCTGCTGTCTGCCTGACAGCCAGCCAGTCACCTCTGCCCTAACCTGTTAGTCTGAGCCTGGGCCAGTGTCCACTGGGACACCAGCCAGTGGGGCTGGGATGAGCCACATACCTGCACAATAAGGAAAATCAACCCACCCATGGGGGCCTGTTATCCCACACTGCTTTCCAGCCCTTTGGCAGAGGCCTAAAGAGACAGACTGTGAATATATACTGCCTTCCCCCACCCCCCACTGAACCCTCCTGGTGAACATTCTACTTCCTGAAGCTAGCCCAGAGGAAGTCCTTCGAAGAGCCAGTGATCTCTTTTCTGCCCTCATCATACAGGTCCTCTGCATCCTGTGGTTCTGCCTCAAGCCCAATCTCCTGTTCCTGAAGTGAGCATGCCTCTCCTGAGCACCCTGGCAATCCTGACTCGTGCTGGGAGCTGGCAGGAGTGCCAGCTGGGGCTGACAATGTAGCTGCGGGTAATGTGCCAAAGTGCCTCACCCAAGGCCACGGCTGCCTGCCAAAGCCCCGCGGCCCGCGTGCGCGAGAGGACTAGAGGGGGTTGAGGCTGCAGACCAGGCGCTTTTCTCCTAATCTGGAGTCTGATGCACAGCCAGTAAGACAAGGTCCAGGGGCAAGAGGCCATCTGACTCAGGGAAGACACATAGGCCTTCAGGGGGTGGATGCCATTTCACCCTTCCCCCAAGAAATACTCGGAACCGAAACCAGAGTTGCAGGGAGCAGGGCCTGAGGCAGCTGCAACCCTAGGCACGAGGAAGGGGAGGGGCCGGGGTGAGATAAAGGGAGCACTGGCCTGCAGTAACCTTTCCCAGCACCAAGCTCCCAGCTCTGGCTGCCCCTGCCCCTACCCCCACCCTGGCCCACTGGGAAGCTGAGCCCTGGAACACAGGCGGAAGGACGGAGGGCCACACCGGGGGGCAGGGTGGCCACTGGGCGGGCAGGAAGTGCGTCCCGCTGAGGTGGCGGCCTGGTCTCTGCATCCCTGGCTCAGGGCCTCAGGGAGGCGGCGAGCCGGCAGCCCAGCTGGCCCTGGAGCTCAGGCGGAGAAGCCATTGACCCAAAGTGCTGAGAGCTGCCACTGCTGCGGCCGCCGCACTGGGTGCTGCTCGTTAACCTCCGCTTGGGCTGAGTCATGCCCATAATGCCTCCCTGCTTGGCCGGCCAGCTCAGCTGGACGCCGTCCTTCAAAGGGCCCTGGGGCCCAGGAGGGGCTGGACAGCAGGCCCCGCTCCACCGGCCTGATCCCAGACAGCAGGAGCCTCCTTCTAGCTGACTGCAGGAATGGGGCCAGCCAGGAGCACTAGCATCTCAAACCGCTAGGATCCACAGCTCCAAACAGCTCCAAGGCCAGAACAGCCTCGCTGAGGAGAGGAAGCAGAAGTGGCCAGGGCCTAGGGTAGTCCCCACCCAGCCTTCCTGCTTCTCCATTTCTGTGCCTAAGTCTGGGCTACCCAAAGCCCTGGCCATCCCAGGTCTCCCTTTCCTATGGCCTGCCCACACCTCTGGCATCAACCCCAGCCAGCCCTGGGCTTTTCCCACCGTTCATGGTTGCCTGCCCCTGGGCTTCCCAGCCACATGCTTTCCTCCATGTTTAGTACCCCAACCTGCCCCACCTCATGGCCCCCATAGAAGGCGATCTCCTCTGAGTTGGCCACCACGCGAGAGTGCATGTAGCGCAGCTCCCCCTTCCTCCGTGCCTCCTCTGCCACCAGCTCCCCAAACTTGGGTGAGAAGGCTCGAAGCACGTTAGCTGTGAGAAACACCACGAGGCCAGCAATGGCAGAGGGCCAGGCTGTGCCAGCCCCACGGGAGCGAGCCGTTTGAAGCAGGGTGTAGGCGGTCACGGCCACATCCAGGAGTGGCTTGGTCAAGTTGGAGTACAGGTGGGCCACAGAGGCAGCAAAAGCCACCACATCCTCCGTCAGGGACTGGTCTGGGTTTCGAAGCCGTCCATCCATGTTACTGACTCGGTAGTAGGTCTGCTGGGAGAAGTAGAGGCTGTAGGCATGAGCCACTAGACGGCTTCGGAAAGACAGGGCCAGCTGGCCCTCCAGGTAACGGATGGCACTGTTGATGAAAGTGGCTGGGAGGGCGATGAGGAGCCATTGCAGGAGCTGCCAACCAAAGGCCTGAGGGTCCTTGCGCACGATGCAGCGGGCCAGCCGTCCATCCAGGCGGGCCACATATACTGATAGGAAAGTCCTGCTCACCAGGGCAGCTGAGTGCAGTGCCAGCAGCCCCGTCTCCCGGCATAGGATCCTGGGGAAGAGCAGCCGCAGGAGCCTCAAGAGTCGCTGCAAGAACACTCGGTTAACACCGGCTTTGGCCGCTGTGGCCGAAGTGGCCCCAGAGGCCTCCTGGGTGGACTCCCTTGCAGGCACTTGGGGGCCTCTGGCAGGAGCCAGGCACTGCCGCACCAGTGGGTAGATTTTGTGGGCTCCATAGGCTGTGAGGGCTAGAACCACAGCTGTGCGCTTCAGCGTGGTCACCCGCGAGGGCCTGGGAGTAGAGAACACCGGCATGTCACCTGGGCTGGATGCACGGGGCTGGGACTGGTGTCTGAGCCAGCAGTTGAGGCAGGTAGCTGGAAGGGTTGTTGCTCTGACCCCGGCTCGTTGTCTAGGCAACTGGAAACCTTGCTGTGGTCCCTGAGACTGTTGCTCTAGGCCACTGGGGCGGTGCTGGGGCCCCTAGTGCGGTGGGCTCAGGTCCCTCCAGGGTCGCGGCCTCTTCAGGCAGTGGAGGTGGAGGAACTTATCAATCTCCTAGCCCCTGGGGTCAGAACCTCGAGAGGGCTCGAGCTCAGAGGGAGTCTCTTGCTCTCCACCTCCTCCTCCTCCTACCCTGGTGGCGCCCCTCCCCGGGGCACCAGGCGCGTCCGTCCTCTCCACAGCCTGGCTGAAACGACAGTGACTCCGCCACCCGCCCAGTATCCCCACCCACCTACCCCTCCCCAGGGGCGAGTCGGGGGAAGGGGAGGAGGCGAAGGAGGGGCGGGAGGCGGAGCCCGGGCGCACCGCCCCACCCCGTTCTCGCCCCACGGTCAGACCCCGCCCCCTTCCCGGACCAAAGAGACATAGGAGGACCGCGCGGGCTAGAGAACCGACCTCTCCTCTTCCCGCTCCGATTCTTCCCTAGCCCTAGGCTTCCGCGCATTGGCGGGGGGGGGGGGGGGGGGGCCGGGCGGAAAGCGGCCGTGGGCGGAGCCTACGGAGCTTCGCTTCATTGGGGGAGGGGCAGGGCCTTGCCTGCGCTTCCGGTTTCCGGCTGCGGGGGAAGGGGCGGGACCAGGGCCTTGGTGGGAGAGTTTGGCGGCAGCGTAGGAACGTGCTTCGGTCTGTGAGAAACTCGGTGAGCGGGGCCGCGCGACTGACTCGGCTCTGGGACCGCCGAGGTACCCTCAGCGCTTCGACGGTGGGGAGTGGTGGGCAGCGTGGAGAGGCCCCGGGTTGAGGGCCGAGCCGGGAATGCGGAGGCAGAGCTCGGCGGAGGGAAGTCGGAGCGGCGGCGGGTGGAGCTGGGCTCCGGGGGCGGGGGGCGGTGATCAAGCCCCTCCGAAGCAGCCTCCGGGGTGGGGGTTAGGGGAGACGTGCCGGGCCAGGGCCAAGTCAAGGGGCCTCCCAAATCTGGTGGGAGCTGTGGCCGACCGGGACTGCCGGGAGGGTCTCCTCTGGCTTCTGAGGAGACAGCTGCTGATTCTAGAAGTTTCTTTGGACGGGGCCGTGAGGTGCTTAGTCAAGACCTGCATTTGGGCTTGGCCCTTGGAGCCGCTGGACTCCCGCCCTCTAGGAGTCGCCCTTGTGGGCTTTTTGAGGTACTCGGAGTCCTCCAGCCCCATCAGAGGCAGTCGCGGCAGTTGGAAAGCCTGTTAGCCTCCGCTCTAGCCCCAGAGGGAGTTGCTGGTTTTAGGGAAGGGCCTCCTGGTTTCCCTGGGGCCGGGGCGGGGGGCTTTTGGGGAAAGTGCGTTACTGAAATACTGCCGCAGCGGGGCTTGCTGGGAGTCTCCGCCAAAGAGCTCCCTGTGGCTGGGAAGGGAGCGGACCTGATGGATGTTGAGAATTTTCTCGTCTGTATTCCTGTGTTTAATTAAAAACACGTTCCTACTTAAACAGGCATAAGGTAGACCCCATGGGAAAAGTAATTGCCCAGAAAGGTGGTTCTGGACGTGTTAAAGCACACACTGAAGGGGGCAGCAAAGTAACTCCGCCCTGGCAGGTGGAAATTGGTCAGGCCTTTGTGCATTAATGCTCAAGTCTCCCTGCTGCGATGAATCCCTTTTCCAGGGTAGCATGGCTGTCCAGTTTTCATGACTCCTGTTCCTTCTGTGCCCTATAGGAAACAAGCTCATATTTCCCTATTGGAAACCTTCTAGCAACAGGATGAGTCTGCAGTGGACTGCAGTTGCCACCTTCCTCTATGCAGAGGTCTTTGCTGTGCTGCTTCTCTGCGTTCCCTTTATTTCACCCAAAAGGTATGGCCTGTGGAGCAAGCAGGCAGGCAAACAAGAAGGTGACTGTTGCCAAGCCCTATCGCTTATGTGTGTAAAGTCAGTGGACCCTGGAATTGGGGCTAGACAGAAATAGGTAGAACGTGTCTGGGGTGGGGGTGGCAGGGGTTGTGTTTACTTTTGCCAATCTTCCACTCTGTTCTGCTTTGTCATATTTTGCTGAGTTTCTTTCCTGTGCACCCTGACTTCTGCTCTTCTGAATGCCCCAAAGGGGAGAACACCTAGCTTTAGTTACGATTCTGGGACTGATGCCCTCCTACTTCCCCTTGGGTCCCTGGGGTTCAGAGGATGGCATTGTGGGATCTGGAAGACTTGCACCACCGGGTCAAGTTGTTGCCTATTTGGTGACTTTTGTCCTACTAAACTAGTCTCACTGGCATTGCTTAGTAGCCTTATGAGCATTACTCAGCCTATGCAGGGTGAAGCCATATTCCCTTTCAGTGAACAGAGGACCTGTTAATAAAAATTCATTGGAAATTAATTTTTAATTGCAAATAACATGAACACATTCTGACTTAAATTAGAACATTACAGATGAGGCTGACTCTCCATAGATAATATATTTTTAAAATTTTCACTGGAGGATATATTTTTATTGATTTTTTTAGAGAGAGAGGAAGGGAGAGAGAGAGAAACATCGGTCAGTTGCCTCCCTTACACGCCTGACCCAAGACCGAACTCTTAGCGTTAACCCCTAGGCATGTGCCCTGATGGGGAATCAAATCCCCAACCTTTTGGTGTACGGGATAATGCTTCAACCAACTGAGCCACCCAGCTAGGGCTCCAAAGATATTTTTTAAAGTTTTTAGTGAAAAATACAGACAAACCTAATGTGATACAATAGAAAGTATACAACACTGCCTAAAGAATATTCTTGCCAAAAGCCAGATCTGAATCTTCACATCTCGTGGAGTTTTGGAGGAAATACAGAGACAGAAACCCCCCTTGGAACTGCAGCCTGGGAAGCTTTGTAGGATAAACTGGATAAACTGTGGTTTCTGCATAAAGTAGTTTGGGAAAGAAAACTAAGAGGGCAAGGGAAGGGCTCAGAGAGTAAGAGAGATTTAAGATACTTTTCAACTAAATGCAGATTTGGAACCTTGTCTCTCTGAATTCAAACAAACCAGCTATTTAAAAATGCAACAGTTGGTCTTTGGGATTCTGGCTCTGATGATGAGGGATTCTTACTGGTTTTCTTGAGGTTTGGTGATTATATTAATCATTTTCGAAGGCTCTTTGGTAGAGCTACGTCCTTAAGTATTTGTGGAGGGAAATGAAGGGAGGTTGGGTCTGCTTCATAATAATCCAGGGTGGGGGATTCTAGATGAACCAAGATTGGTTGTGTGGAAAAACAACTTAAAGAAATAATGTGTAGCCCTGGCTGGTTTGGCTCAGCAGTTAGAGCGTGGGCCCGAGTACCCAATTGTTGCAGGTTCAGTTTTGGTCAGGAATACATGCCTTGGTTGTGGTTCGGTCCCCAGCCCTGGTCGGGGTCATGCGGGAGGCAACCAATTGATGTGTCTCTCTCATATCAATGTTTCTCTCTCTCTCTCTCTCCCTCTCCCCCTTCTCTCCCTCCCCATCCCTCCCACTCTGACTGAAGATAAATGGAAAAAGTATCCTTAGGTGAGGATTAAAAAAAAAAAGAAATAATGTATATGTAGCAAGCATTTTGAATACTACATAGAGGAATGCATTGCAAAGTAAGTTTCCTATTTACCTCCCCAGAGACTACCAGTGTTTAGGACTGATGTTCTAGAAATTTCTATTTATGGACAAGCATCTGTTTTTTTCTTAAACACTCTTGAATGGATGTCATGAATTGGAAAAATGCAAGCAGCTGAGGCTGAGTTTGTATGGGATATTGGGCCATTGGAGAAGACTGCAAAACTGGGTTTCTGTTCTCAAGGCCCAGATCCCAAGTGTGTTCTTTCTCTACAGCCTCTGTCTTTTTTTTCTTCACAGATGGCAGAAGATTTTCAAGTCCCGCCTGGTGGAGTTGGTAGTGACCTATAGCAACACCTTCTTTGTGGTTCTCATTGCCATCCTTGTGCTGCTGGTCATTGGTGAGTGAGCTGTGGATGAGGGTGGCTACCTGATCTAGACCCTTTGCCATGGCCTTTGCTGCAAAACCCTGTGCCATGTTCTGTGTGTAGCATACAGCTTTGGTTTTTTAGACACAGACTGCTTAAGTGTTCCTGTCTTTCCCAGGAAAGAGACTTTTTTTTTAATCTACGAAGGAGGGTACTGTTGGCAGGGCCTACACTTTGACCAGCAGTCTTTGTGGACCCTGTTATGACCACTTCAGCGGTCTCTGGGACCGCTCCTTAGGGTCATTCCAGAACTGAAACCAAGAGAAACTTAACTGGCTCATTCTGACCTTGGTCTAAGTAGTGCTGCTTTCCAGTCACTTAGATAGTTGCATCAGTCTCTCCCTCCATGCTTGAAATAGGCATGATTAGGGGACTGAGTGACCAAGTAGACAGGGAGCCTAGCTTGGTAGGAAGCTGCTATGTCCTGTAGTATAGGGGTAAACAAGAGGTCTGACAGCATACCTAGGGAGCAGATCTTCTCTGGACTGGGTCAAACTTCAGGTCTTTCCAGATTCTTCCAGCTCTGAAGTTTTATAAACCCTACATTGAGGTGCACACCAGTAGGGGCTTGAAAGATAATCTGGGCCTTGGGTATGTTCAGGGATGGGGCCTGGGGCCAGGTGGTGCTAAGATGGAAGGCAAACATTTTATGATGTGCTGGTGGCTTCATTATTCAGAGACCAGTGGAATTAGTGAAGCTCTCTTCTGGCTGTTAAATGTACGTTTTGCTTGTACGTTTTGCTATGGTTAGTGATCAATATGTCCCCCTGCTTGGACTCCATAGTATTGGCTTAGGTCTGCCACAGACAGTGGTCCTGTCTCCAGGTGTGATGTTTGCTTAAGCTCAGAGCACTCCTCTCTTCCCAGTCCACATCAGAAATGTGACAGGGGGTTGGAGGCCAGAGGGCCAGAGTTTAGAGGAACTTGAACGGCCCCACCCACTAGCTGCTGTGTTAGGCATGTCTCCTTCATAATGTCTCAGGGCCTGACGGGATATGTTCAGGCAGGACTGCTTCTGAACAGGCCAGGTGTGGCCTACTCATTCCCAGCCATGTAGAGTGGGTGCCAGCTGTTTGCATACCTTGTTGAAATGTTTGGCAGGTCTCCACTCAGAGGTAGCTCTTTCCAATCAGGGTCTTCTTTCTGAGCGGCCTCTGAAGCTAAAGGGGTCAGGAATATGCACATCATCCACTGAGCATGAAAAGCTGGGCTTTTCTTGTGCTTTTGGTTTTGATTGTGGTGTGGGGAGGGACTGTGCTGGGGGTATTTCCTCTGGGCCTTGTCCTTCTGCAAAGCAGACGGTAGGAGCTCTCCATTTTCTAACACTGAGTGGACCAGGGAGGCCCTTTGTAGAGAACCCAATAGTTAGCAAAGGCGTGCCATTCTTTTTTGGAATTGGGGAATTGCTCAGAGGTTCTAGAGAGACATCCAGCCATGAAGACAGGCTGCTTCCCACCCTAATAGTCAGAATCATAATCTAGGGAGGTCTGTAGAGGCTTCTACAAATATAAGTGTTAGCTAGTAGCAAATACTAGTGAAAGGTGATGGGCATACCAGCTAGAGCTGCAGTCCTGGCTGGCTCCTAGTCTTCATTGAGAGGGATGAAGGGCAGATATGACTGGGGAGTGGGCTTGATGAGGGTCCAGGGTCAACTGCCCTGGGCTAGAGGCCCGAGATAGGGAGGGCAGCACTCTGTTGCATGACTTGGGCTAGTATGGCCTAATGCTGTCATCCCCAGTTTGCTCTTTGCCATAGGCCAAGGTGGTCCTTAAAGTGGTGGGGTTTCTAGATGCAGATGACAGTGTAGAAAGATGCTTTTATATCACAAAAAGTAACATTTTAAAAAATTCAGAAATTTAACCTAAAAAGTTAAAGTCTCATGTCTCACAGCTAACCATCATTAATGCTTTATTGTACATTTCCATAGGCATTTTCTGTGCTGATATCTTTATTAATATATTACACACTATTTTTGATTGTGCATTTTTCCACTTACTATGTCTTAGACATCTTTTTACAGCAGTTTCATTCTTTTTAAAGATTGTATAATATCGTTCCTTGGTGTCCGTGGGGGATTGGTTCCAGGACCCCTGTGGATACCAAATTCCATGAATGTTCAAGTCCCTTATGAGCCCTGGCCAGTTTGGCTCAGTGGTTGGAGCATCGGCCTGTGGACCAGAAAGTCCTGGGTTCAGTTTCCGCACCAAAAAAAAAAAAAAGTAGAAATAAGTCCCTTATGAAAAATGGTGTAGTATTTGCATATAACCTATGCACATCCTTCCGTATACTTTAAATCATCTCAAGATTATTTATAATACCTAATACATGTAATGCTATGTAAATAATTGTTATACTGTATTGTTTAGGGAATAATGACCAAAAAAAGTAAGTACGTGTTCATTACAGACATAACCGTCATAGTCCTAACTACATAATACAAGTCAGCAACAATGCAACATTTTTTCCCAAATATTTTTGATTCACACTTGGTTGAATCCATGGATGGTGGAACCCACGGAAATGGAGGGCTTACTGTACAGGCGGACCTCAGAGATTCTGTGGTTTCAGTTCTAGACCACTGCAGTAAAGTGAGTCACACAAATGTTTTGGTTTTCCAGTGCATATAAGTGATGTTTACATTATACTGTAGTCTGTTAAGTGTGTAATAGCATTATACCTATAGAAATAATATACGTGCCTTAATTAAAAATGTTTTATTGTGACCTAGCCGGGTGGCTCAGTTGGTTGAAGTGTCATCCTGTGCACCAAAAGAAGGTGGTGGGTTCGATTCCCAGTCAGGGCATAAACCAGGGTTGCGGTTTTGATCCCGTCGGGGTGCGTGCAGGAGGCAGCCTATCAGTGTTTCTCTCACATTGATGTTTCTCTCTCATCAGTATAAATATCCTCGGGTGAGGATTATAAAAACTTTTTTCTTTTTTTTTTGGTATAAATTCTAACTGAGCCTTTAGTGAGTCATAATCTCTTTGTTGGTGGAGGGTTTTGCCTCAGTGTTGATGAAAACTCATTATCTCTAAGGTGCTTGTATCCTATTATGTAGTTATACTTTAATTTAGCTCTTTCCTTTTAGGCATCTACATTTATGTAAATGCTTCTGTAGGATAAATTCATAGACATGGAATTGATGGATCCAAGGGCATGAACATTTTATTTAAAAAAAAATTTTTTTTATTGATTTTAGAGAGAAAGGAAGGGACAGGGAGAGAGAGTTAGAAACATCAATGAGAGAGAACATCGATTGGCCACCTCCTGTGTGCCCCCCACTGGGGATTTGGCCCACAACCTGGGCTTGTGCCCTGACCGAGAATTGAACCAGCGACCTCTTGGTGCATGGGTCGATGCTCAACCACTGAGCCACATCGGCCGGGCGCATGAACATTTTAAATTGTGTCTTAGTTTGGGCTGCTGCAACAAAAATAGTATAGACATGGTTCTGGAGGCTGGAAGTCCAGGATCGAGGCGTCAGCAGAATTGGTGTCTTGCGAGAGCCCTCTTCCTGGTTCATGGATGACTGCCCTCTTGCTGTGTCCTCACACGGCAGAAGAGAGTAAGGGATTTCTCTGGGGTCGCTATTATCAAGGCACTAATCCTGTTCATGAAGGCCTGTGCTCATGACCTAATCACCTCCCAAAGGCCCCACCTCCTAATACCATTACATTGGGGATTAGGATTCCACATAGGAATGTGGGGAGACGGGAACATGCAGTCCATTACAAATAGGTGAGTTACCCACTTTATACCCTTACTAATAGTGTTGGAGAGTACTCACTTTACGACACAGATATAATTTATTTATTTTTTCCTCACCAGAAGACATTTTTGCATTTATCTTCAGATAGAGCGGGAGAGAGGGGGTGGGGGAAGAGAGAGAAAGAAACATTGATGTGAGAGAGACACATAAACTGGTTGCCACCCGCACAACCCCAACCGGGGCGGGGACAAACTGCAACCAAGGTACGTGCCCTTAGCGGGAACCGAACCAAACCGACTCTCTGGTCCGCAGGCCGACGCTCTAACTGCTGAGCTAAACTGGCCAGGGCTACAATACAGATTTAAATTTTTTTAAATTGATTTTTAGAGAGGAATGGAGAGAGAAACAGCGATTAGTTGCCTTCTGCACGCATCCCGATCAGGGATTTATCCAGCAACTTGGGCATGTGCCCCGACCGGGAATCGAACCCGTGACCTTTCAGTGCACAGGAAGGCACTCAACCAATTGAGCAACACCAGCCACCTGATACAGATTTAACACAAAGGCACCAGAAGGCAGAGTTTTATAATGTAAGATCAACTTAAAAACCAAGCAGTCTTAAACCAGGAATTCAGAATCAAAACAATATCCATACAGTGATACTTTCCCCCTCTTATATGGGGGTCTATTAAGGACCCTCTTTAGGTAGGTTTTTATGTACTGACTTAAAAAGATATCTCGGAGTGGGGGAGAAAGCAGTAGGTATGGCATGGTTCATTCCACTTTTACTTTACAAACATAGGTACAAATATTTGTAATTTAGAGGACTGTACATCTAACAGTGGCTCTCAGGAGCAGAGGCTGTTTACTATTCAGCAGTTATTTTCATGCCCCCTGTGTACCCAGAACTGTGTTAGGCCCTGGGGATATAGTAGAAAAGATTTCTGCTCTCGTGGAGTTTGTAGTTTAATTTGGGAGAGACGGACAATAAACCTGTAATTAAGGTAATTTCAGATACAGATGTGTATTAACAGGAACCTAACATAGGGTAATGTGAATGAAAGTGACAGCTTTAGATACGATGGCCACATATTGTATACCGTGCTGGAGGTGATTGTGTTATGAGGTTCTTTCTTTTTCCACATTTCTGGAATGTGAACTTCCTTTTTTTTTTAAATCCTCACCCGAGGACATTTTTTCATTTTTTTGTTCAGATAGAGTGGGAGGGAGAGAGAGAGAAACATTGACGTGAAAGGCACACATCGAGTGGCTGCCACCCACATGACCCAACCAGGGCTGGGGACAAACTGCAACCAAGGTGCGTGCCCTTAGCAGGAACCGAACCCAGGTCTCTCTGGACCGCAGGCTGGCTCTCTAACCACTGAGCAAAACTGGCCAGGGCTGGAATGTGAACTTTTGATGAGCACAGATTCCTTTTTTAATCCAAATAAAATGGTTTAAGTAATAAAACCCATTATAAAGCTTAGAAATGAAAACCCTTGAATCTTTAGCAGGCATCATCTGGTTCTTGCCTCCTAGGCAGCTTATGTCTCCTTAGTGAACATTTCCATAAGCAGGACTACCCTGGCTTATCAGTGGGGTGGCTGGTGGCCTGCCTGACTTGAAATAAACAGAACCAGACATTGGGGAGGACCATCGGAAAGGGAGGTTGTTCCTGGCTAGCAGTGCCGCAGACTTGTTTAGCATCTTGACACAGAGAGCAAGCTTTTGGCCTGGGTGGAATGTGTCAGTGAGGGATGTGAGAAAAGCTGGAGTATAGAGAGGGTCTGGGGGCAGAGTTCCAACAGACATTCCCTGAGGTGTGTGTAGAAGGGGTGATAATGGGAAATGGTTTGAGGGAATCAAGGCCTCCTCGACTCACATTGTCTATTGCAGCTGGACAGTCCAGACTTGTTCCAGGGGGAGTTAAACCCTGTGTCTCCTCTCTGTTCCACTGCAGATGCTGTACGTGAGATTTCAAAGTATGATGACGTGACAGAGAAGGTGAACCTCCAGAACAACCCTGGGGCAGTGGAACACTTCCACATGAAGCTTTTCCGTGCCCAGAGGAATCTCTACATTGCTGGCTTTTCCTTGCTTCTGTCCTTGTGAGTGAGGAGGGGTGTGAGGGGCTGTGAGGGGACTCCTGGGCTAGCCTGTGACTTTGACTTCTTAGTTCATGGCCTTGAACTGGAGGCCTGTTTATGTTAGGGGAGCCGCACAATTTCCCCAGAGGCCTCTGATTTTCCTCCTGATCTCCAAAGGCAGCATAAAGAGTGAGACAGGACTGACTGGAAGGTCAGAAGACTCAAGTTCTGGCTATGCTTCAATTTGCCATGTGCTGTCTTAGGGCAAACACATTAGCAGCTTGCTCTCTGTACATAGTGTGAAGTGAGGTATTTCCCTTCTCTGGGAGAGGCCCTTTGGAACCCAATTTAAAAGGAATCAATTAAACGGACTTTTTGCGTATGGAGTCCTACCCTGGGAGGAGTGGAAAGAAATGGCATGAAGGGGCTGAGACCGATTCTGTCCCCAGGGCCTTTCCAGATGTTAGACCTGTGGGAGCATATCCTGTTCCATGGCAGTCTTGAGTGTTTCTGTTGTTTTTTGTTTGTTTGTTTTTTATTTATTTTTTTCTTTATTGATTTTAGAGAGAGAGAAAGGGAGAGGGAGACAGAAAAATATCGATGAGAGCGAACATCGATTGGCTGCCTCCTGCATGCCCCCACTGGGGATTTGGCCCACAACCTGGGCATGTGCCCCGACTGGGAGTTGAGCCGGCAACCTCTTGGTGCATGGCGGGGGGGGGGGGGGGGGGGTGACACTCAACCACTGAGCCACACCGGCCCGGCTCGTTTGTTTTGTAAGATTGAATGCCTTGATCAGGACCATGGAGGTAGCTAGTTGGGCAAGACTAGACTGATAGAAAGCACCTGTTTGAGCTCAGGGCTGGTTTACTGCCCCTGCTCACAGGGCTTCTGATTGGGGCTGTGGCTGTTTTCAAGTATGCTGACTGGCAGGAGGTAGACATAGCACTCAGGCCAGGGCTTCTAGAGGTATTGGGAAGACTCTCACTATGTGGATCCTTGGGCTGGGATCTCCCACCACCCATCACCTAGACATAGTTTTTTTCTATCTGGGCTGTCTGGGTTTTAGTTTTTCAGAAAAACAGTAAGTTGCTCAGGTGAGCCTACCCTTCGTGGATCAAAGTTGGAAAAGTGGCAGAGGTGATGCTGGAAAGGGCAGACAGCTCTTCAAGGTGAGCCGTTTGATCACAGAGTTGGGAAGTGAGAAACCTGGGAGGAGTCAGACACAGACCCTAGAGTTTTAGGAAGCTCTGAAAAAGGTGATGATCTTGTAGGCTAAGACTGAAAGGGAGGCAGGACCAGGTCTCAAAAACAGGATTCGGAGTCGATCTGCACAAGAGCCGGGGGGCGGGGGGGCATGATGGCACTGCAAGTCTGAGGGACCACAGAGGCACTCAGGGCTTTCCAGGCAGCTCACATCTCATCTGAAAGACAGGAAGAAAAACAAAGACTGCGCCAGAAGAGCACACAGAGCTTAAGAATAGTGTTAGGAAGGCAGAAGCCTGCCATGAGTTCTGAATCATGAAACATGGTGCAGGACTTGGGGAGAAGATAGTCCCCTTGATGTTTTTGTGTCAAGTAAGAATAGTTGGCAGAAGGTCAAGGAAGCATTGGGATGAGATGATTGAAATTTCAGGACAATGGTACTCTGGAGTGCCCAGCTACTCAGAATGACCTAGCTTTCACTTGGGCTTGATGACATTATGTCCAGAGGCTTTTGCAAATGTTTGCAGATGGAATTGCAGGGTGGGAGAGATTCTGGAAGACCACAGACAGGCAAGCATTCCAATTTCCAAAGGAGGGAGAAGGTAGGTAAGATAATAACTGGAATGTGAGGGTCTGATTCTGATTCAAGCCATATTCTAGAAAAAATAGCTTGTGCGCTTTTAGAGAAAAGAGGCATCGTTGGCGACTATGAATTCCTAGAGAGCCAGTTAGTTCTCTCAGTCTGTCCCTGCTTTCTGTTGAGCTAGTGTATGTCAATTGAATGATTGACAGGTTCCAATTCAATTCTTACAGAGCAGGTGCTGAAGTGTGGGCTCTGTGCAGGCATAACAGTGTCATTGGGTGGGGTTTTAACTCCCATGAGTGGCTCCCCCAGGGATCAGCTCCATCCAGATAGAGGCCTTAGGAGCTTGTGCTGTACCCCTGGCCTGCTCATTGTTCTCTGCTGAGAATGGTTGTCATGGTGAGCAGATGCAGGGAGATATGGAAGCTAGGAGGAAGTGAACAGCAGATAAGTTAGCTGCCTCTCAATCCATGGTTGTCTAGGTGGGGTTGACTCTAATGGGACTTGAGTTTTTAAAGGGGGAACATTTGTAAACGTGTGTGTAGGTTCATAAAGGACCGTGGAGATAGGGCCAAACAGGAACTTGAAAGACTTGTGGTTGTGGTTGATTGCAGCTGAGAGCTGATGAACCCTTAATGCCCTTTAGTGAGGCCTGGGACCACCAGGCCAAGTTCTGTGGGCCTCTTGATCCTGTTCCAAGCATCCATATCCCTCTTACTGTCTGTCTCTTCCTTGTTTGTGTTTGCACATATCTCACTGGCAGACACTGACTCAGTACCTAAATCTCTGTAGGTACTGGCTAAGTTGGGAAAGGGGGAGGCAAAGCAGGGTGGATGGGTCAGGATTGGTGGGAGATAGGCTAGAGGGTTTTGAGTGAGTTTGTACCCAGCCTCCATGTGGTAGAATGCTTGCTGTGTTTTTCCAGGGGTGCTGCACTGGGATCAGAGCTGTGTGTTCGTATTTGGCGACAGTGCATAGGATGGAGTGGAGCAGCCTAGGAGCGGGGAGACCAAGTTGGGGGTCGCTGGAGTAAGAGATACCGGTAGCCTGAACCAGGGTGTGGTAGCATGAGTTGAGAGTAGGGGACAGGTTTGATGGGAGATAGGGGAAGAGCTAACAGGGACACCAAGCCTCTAAGGCTGATGTGGTAGCAATTTTGCTGTGGACATCTGTAGAGTGGCAGCTGTGGCAGAAGCCAGAGGACCACCTGCATGCACGCATACATGGGAGGGAGGGGAGCCAGAAGGAATGAAGAGACAGGGGTAGAGGAGGGGAAGGTCACCAGGATGGCACACTGTCGCATCCCAGAAGCTCGAGGCTGCCTTTCCTTCTGTCTTTTCACATGTGCTCCCCTGCTCCTATGGTTTTGTTTTTTAATTGTGGTGAAATACACATAACATCAAATTGACCTTCTGAACCATTTCTAAGTGTGCAGGTCAGTAGAGTTAAGTCCATGCACACTTTGTACAACCAACCTCCAGGATTCAATTCATCTTGTAAAACTGAAACTGCCCCAGTTCCACAGCCTAGGTATCTCCCATCCAGAGTGCTTTCTTTTTTATTTATTTATTTATTTTATTTTTTTATCTTTATTGTTGAATGTATTACAGATGTTCCTCATTTTTCTCCCATTGACCCCCCTCCTCCCCACTCCCGACCTCCTCCTGCCTTTCCCCACACTGTTGTCTGTGTCCATTGGTTATGCATATATACATTTAAGTTCTTTGGTTTATTTCTTCCCAACCCCCAACCCCCAACCCCCTTCCCATTGAGGTTTGTCAGTCTAGCAACCAATTTGTACTTCTCAATCCCTTCACCTTTTTCACCCATTCCCCCAAGCCCCCTCCCAACAAAATGTTCTCTGTATCTATGAGAATGTTCTCTTCTGCCTGTTCATTTTGTTTGTAGATTCAGTTGTTGATAGATATGTATTCATTGCCATTTGTTCATATAATTTTATCTTTTTCTTCAAAAAGACCCTTTAACATTTCATATAATAACGGTTTGGTGGTGATGAACTCCTTTAACTTTTTCTTGTCTGGGAAACTGTATGGCCATGTATTTTAAATGATAGCTTTGCAGGATAGAGTAATCTTGGTTGTGGGTTCTTGCTTTTCATCACTCTGAATATTTCTTGCCACTCCCTTCTGGCCTGCAAAGTTTCTTTTGAGAAATCAGCTGACAGCCTTATGGGAACTCCCTTTGTAGGTAACTAACTGCTTTTCTCTTGCTGCTTTTAAGATTCTCTCTTTGTCTTGAACCTTTTGCATTTTGATGATGATGTGTCTTGGTGTGGGCCTCTTGGGGTTCATCTTGTTTGGGACTCTGTGCTTCCTGGACGTGTATGTCTGTTTCCTTCACCAAGTTAGGGAAGTTTTCTGCCATTATTGTTTCAAATAAGTTTTCGATTTCTTGTTCTCTCTCTTCTCCTTCTGGCACCTCCAAGATGCGAGTGTTGGCATGCTTGAGGTTGTCCCAGAGACTCCTTACACTATCCTCATTTTCTTGGATTCTTTTTTCTTTTTGCTGTTCTGATTGGGTGTTTTTTGCTTCCTTATATTCCAAATCGATGGCTTGCTTCTTGGCTTTACCTACTCTACTATTGAATCTGTGTAAATTATTCCTTATTTCAGTTAGTGCCTCCTTCATTTCTGACTGGTCCGATTTTATGCTCTTGAGGCCCTCACTAAGTTCGCTGAGGTTCTCACTAAGTTCATTGAGCATCCTTATAAGCAGTGTTTTGAACTCAGCATCTATTATGTTGCTTATCTCCATTTCGCTTAGTTCTTTTCCTGTTCTTTCATTTGAGACCTGTTTGTCTCCTCATTTTGGCTGCCTCCCTGTGTTTGTTTCTATGTATTACTTAACGAGAGGTATGGGGCTAGCTGAGACCAGATGCTGCTTGTTTGAAAGAATTTAGGAAAACCTGAAGTGGGATTCAAGACAGGCCGATCCTATGGTAAAGCAACTGGCAAAAGCTTGGATGGGCTTGAAAGTTGGGTGGGACAGGGCCTCAGGGAATCACCAGGGTGGGGCAGACAGCGTGAGCCAGGTTGCTGGAGTCCCAGATATGGCAGCTGTCTGCCGCCCCAGCCCCAGGGACCGGCTCGCCAAAGGAACAAAGGCCTCTGACAGCACCTCTGTCCTGGAGAAAGCCCCCTTTCCAGCCCTCGCTCCAATGCCAAACAGCTCAGTTCTTCCCTGTATGTCTCTGGCGCCCCTCGTGCGCGGG